GTTTCTTCAGTAGAACACAAACGAAGATTTTTAACTCAAACCGTTGCAGTCTGTCAGTCATTTTAGTGTCAGGGTTTCATTTGGTTTTGTTTGTGTATGTTTTTTTGACTCTCAAAGCCGTGATTCCCATTCACTTCCATTATAAGACTGACAGACTGCAACGGTTTTAAATAAAAATCTTCGTTTGTGTTCTACTGAAGAAACAAAGTTACCTACATCTTGGATGCCCTGGGGGTAAGCAGATAAACATCAAATTTTCATTTTTGGGTGAGCTATCCCTTTAAGTCATCCAATCCCTCACCTTCCTTCTGTCTCACTCTGTGGTTTGTGCTCTCGGTGGTGTTGGTTAATTGATCTCTAGTTGCTGTATTGGTCGTAATGTTGTTTTCTACAGTGTTCCTACTGCTCCGATTCCTGGCCGGAGTGACGGTGGGCGGAGCCAGAACAGGGGGCGGAGCACTGTATTTGTGATGGGCAGCTGACAGCAGCTCTCTAGCAGGTCCGTCCTCCTCCAGACAGGAAATGAGGGTGTAGACCACCGGCTCTCCTTCCTGCGCAGCACTGAGTGCCTGACCGAACAGGTACTCTGTGACACTGAGGCGTCCCGCGCCTAAGAGCGATTCATCAGTGCTACTGAAGGCCACGAGCGGAGCTTGAAAAGGATATAAACTACCTGGTTGGAAGCGAATCTCCAGCTGATAAACGGGAACTTCTGTGCTGCTAAACCCTGGCTGACTTGCCTTACAAAATTCTCTGGAAGAGCTCGATTCAGGAGTTTGGTGCTTGAACCTGCAGCGGTTTCCATACCTACAACCTGCCCCCTTCATGTAAAACTTGCAAATCTGATTGGATCCTGACTGCTTTTTACAATTCGCAGCGTCTGAAATTTTGTTCCGCCTTTCATCCAGCCACTGCAAATCAAGCTGGATTGTCCAAACACGATTACTGATGCGCTCACAGAAGCGATCCCCGTAGATTGCGGTCAAAGCCAGGGCCTCTTCCTGTCGCGGAGCTACACATTCCTCCTGAGAAGGGAGGTCTGATGTTTGGGGGCTGAGGGCGCTGGAGTCGAAACGTTCTGTGAAAATCTGGGATAGGAGGAGCTCTAATGTCGCTCCAACCTCACCACGTCCACTTTCTTCTCCAGCCTCCAAAGCTTGTCGACAGCGTTCACGGTCAAAGCCATACCTGCAACATAATGGGAAATACGGAGTTACTTTTACAGTATAATGAGTGATCAAACAGATTAGTTTAATAAATGGTACACCAAGTACACCTCATCTACCATCCAGGCATAAACTATCTGTGCACATTATGCTATAATACACTGTAAACATTTTTTGTTTTTGATTTTTTACAGACAAAAGTAAAAATGCTATAGTAAAAACATGTTAATTGCCTTGGTTAATATGGTTATTAAAAAACCTATGAATTATCGTATCATTTACAGTCAAAAACAGTAAAGGACCCTCACAAAAGTTGCTACACATCACATATGATTATATTTTATATAAATATGAAATATAATCATCTTTCTTATCACTTTTGCTATCTGTAATGTACATTATGCCGTTTTGTGTTATATTTTCTCTTATTTAATTTTTTGCAGTTATTAGGTTACAACAAATACAGTTATTAATCAAACAGATAAAAATATTACATTTTTCTGTAAAATACTGTCAAAGTTATGGTTACTGCACACAAAAACTATGAATTACCATATAATTTACAATGAAAAACAGTAAAAAGACATTCCCAGAAGTCTCTGCATGACACATCAGATATAATTTTATATAAATAATTTTTTTTTTTTCATTTTTGTTTTCAGTAATATACATTAGGGTGTTTTGTGTTACATTTTCTGTTATTTAATTTTTATAGTTATTACCTAATAACCAATCATTACGTTTATTATTTATAAGAACAAAAACTTAAATTGCTTAACATTGCATAATATGTAATTTGTCTGTAAAATACTGCCAAATGTATGGTTATTGCAAGTAAAAACGAATGAATTGCCATATAATTTGAAATGAAAAACAAAAAAAGAGGTCCCTTTGTGACATCACATATGATTAAAATTTATTTAAAAGTTACAGTTTTGCTTCTGTTTTTTCACAAATTTACATTAAGATGTTTTGTGTTACTTTTTGTTGTTTAGTGAATGTTTAGCGCATTATTTAAATATCGTGTGTTACCATGATGGTGTTTTTTGTCTTTTGTGTATGGCCCTGTGCAAAGTCTAAACATGAATATTGGCCATGTTTTATGGACAGGCCACTGACAGTAAACTCAGGTTCATCATGTGACTTTCTACATGTGCATCACCTGTATTATTATGGTAATTACCAGTACATTATAAGGTAAAAAGTTCAAGTAGGCTGATTTATTAACATGACATATAAAGTTATAAGTTGCAAAATATATAGGCACCAATATGGCATCCTATAATACCTCACTGTACGACGTCACCGTATTTTTGGTGAATTTCTGGCAACCACAGCTCTTGTATTTCTACGTAAATTTAACAGGACATTTTTTAACAGTGTACCATCACTACAAAAATCTTGAAATATAAGTAATGATGCCTTTTTTTCGCCAAAGTGTACCTGCAAAGAGTGCCCAGAGCAAACAGAGAGATCACCGGCTCTGGCTTTGTGTGCTTCTCCTCGACCGAGTCCTCCATCCAGTCATCACTCTCGGCACATTCTACTCCATCATCATGGGTTTGCCAGAACTGACCTTCCTCACGACGGTCCAGCTCATCATACTCCTCTTCCTCATCCTCCTCATCCTCACCACCTTCATAGTCAGAGCCGCTACATGACAAAAATACAGTCTTAAACAATGAACAAACACCGTAAGAGTTAGAGTGCAACACAGGGGGTTAAAGGGATAGTTCACCCAAAAATGAAAATTCTGTCATTAATTACTCACCCTCACGTCGTTCCAAACCTGTAAGACCTTCGTTCATCTTCGGAACACAAATTAAGATATTTTTGATGAATTCTGAGAGCTTTCTGACCCTCCCATAGACAGCAAGGTTATTACCACGAACCACGATCAAGGTCCAGAAACGTAGTAAGGACATCGTTAAAATGATCCATGTGACATCAGTTGTTCAACCATAATTTTATGAAGCTACGAGATTACTTTTTGTGCGCAAAGAAAACAAAAATAACTAATTTATTCAACAATTCGTCTCCTCTGCGTCACCCTGTACCGCCATTTTGGTTAGTATCACATACGTAAACAACGTATGCTGTTCTGTGTCAGCAGCACCGTACGCAGATATGCTGTTTACGCTTTGATCTGAATGTAAACAA